CAAATAATGAAATCAATTTTATAATTATATTTTTAATATTTTATAAATTTAAATTAACAAAAATTAATTAGTATCAATAGTTTTAATTTTAAGACATTTCAATTTTAACTGTTTAATCATTGTCTTATTATTATTTCTTATTTTCTTAGTGTTAGCGTTAAAATACAACTTAATGTACAGAATATTCCGTAATTCCGATATTGTATTCAATATTCTGTCATCAATTTTATCCTTCATTTCAAGTGTTAAGTACTGAATGTTTGGAAAGCATTTCACAATATCCGCGATAACTTTGTGATTGACATTAAAACGGAGCGTTAAATGTGTGATACGTTTCCATTGTTGACCGCAAGTGAAATCAAGTGGCGGTAAAACAAAGTCCCTCACCCCCCATCCCCCATAAAAATCGCCTAAAACTTCCAAACGTGTCAACCGTTTATAGAACTTACGAATGCAGTGTAGGAGTTGTTTGACTTCATTGCCATTAATGGGTATTTTTTTATAAGAATTATAGTCAAAATGAATGGACAGACGTTTCAAATACTGAGGTTTGAGTCCGATTTGTGTGAAACCCTCCATAACTGCGGGAAAACAATTCATTTTGTGGTCCGATAAACGACCGAATCGTATGAATAGTTCACGTAATGATTGCAGTTGTGATATGCCTGATAATTTAGGTATAAATTAGTTATTAAGCTCTTAAATAGGTAATTTATTTGATAGTTACAAACCTGTCATTAATAATTTCAAGCCGGATTCATCGTTAATATTTCTGGCGTTCACATCAAGTGATTTCAATACGTGTCCATAGTTTGTGACAAATACAGTGAATTCCCCGATATAGTTAGCGGGGTAATAATAAATGCAAACTTTGTGTAGTTTTGGGAATAAAACACTTGGATTTGAAAGCAATTGCCACTCCGGATAATCAATGTTTTGACTTATAGTAAGATGTGTGATATTTTCACATAATTCAATGTTTTCATTGATTGCATTCAATTCATCCAAATATTTGTGTGAATCTGTATTCATTTCAACAATTTTCAATTGTTTGAAAAATTTAGCGAAAAATTCTTTAATACTATCGACACTAATATCATTTTCTAAAGTAACATTAATAGCATTTAAATGACAGCAATATTTAGTAATCAATTCAAACTGTTGTGTATGAAGTCGCATGAATCCAATGTCCGTAATGTTGGGTAACTTTTTAAGAAAAGATTCAAATACCGATAAATTCTTCGATAACTTATGGATTAAGTTATGACTAAACTTTGATTTAATAAAGAGTTTGGTTTGTGAGGTGTATATCAATCGTTGCCATTGAGTGGACACACATTCATAACACACACTCTCTTCAAGTGATAGGAAAGACAACACATATTCACACAAATCGTCACCAAATCTGTCCAAAGAGTCTTTGCTATAGATTTGAGACATTATTAAGTTATTTAATAGTCTTAAACACAAATAAAAATAAATTCAACAATAACTGGAATATAATTGTGTGAACACATGGAGTGTTGGATAGAGACCTCTTATATGGGCTAATGTGCAGTCATATAGAGTGGAGGCATACGTGACATTACACGTCAAAGTGGGCATCCCTTTCCTCTTAAACCTCCCTTTCCCTTCCCGTTCTCTTATGGGAGAAACCATATACGGGAAGGGAGAGGGATTCCCTTTTTGGATGTAAGCGATACATCCCTTCCCTTATACCAAATTCCCTTTTTCCCTTAAATGTCACATAAATATTGTATTAATTTGTTTAATATGCTAAGTGGTTGAATCATTTAATAACAAATAAAAAATATAAAACTATAAAAAACAATCTTTTTATAATACTAGAAGTGAAAGCATTGAATTATTTATAATTGTGGTAAAAATGAGTTTAAATAATACAGAGTATTAATTGTAATAATAACCGATAAAAACATCATTTCATATACATTAATATGAGATTTAATGCTTATTTTAGCTCTAATTTTATACCAAAATTTTTAAGGGATTTTAAGGGAAGGGAAAGGGAATGCCTTTAAGCAAAAATGAAGGGAAAGGGAATGAAATTCAGGGGTAGGTTTGGTCTGTACGTGACATTAGACTTGTGGACAAACACTGGGAATGTTTTGAATGTAATGTCAAACGAAAGACAATTTGTAATCGACGGGACTCTCCTAAAAGACCTAAAACCGAAAAGACCTAAACTCAAATAGCTAACTTACCAGTGGTCATCTGATTTAATTTAGGTTAGGGTAGGTTAGGTGAGGTTAGGACAAATCTATTCCACTCATCAAATTTAAAATACGACCCCTGGTCAGTTAGTTATTTTAGTTTAGGTCTTTTCGGTTTTAGGTCTTTTGGGGTAGAACCCATTTTACATATATATTTATTTATATAATTTATATATATAATTGTTTATCAGTCAAAAAGGCAATTTGTTTATTATTTAATTTGATTGATGTGTTTTAATTTGACATTGACATTGAAAATTACAAGT